GACGAGACAGAGAAGACACGGAGAAGAGACAAGACAGAGACAGAGAGGACACGGAGAAGAGAGAAGACAGAGACGAGACAGAGAGGACACGGAGAAGAGACAAGGACGAGACAGAGAGGACACGGAGAAGAGACAAGACAGAGATGAGACAGAGAGGACACGGAGAAGAGACAAGACAGAGACGAGACAGAGAGGACACGGAGAAGAGACAAGATAGAGACAGAGAGGACACGGAGAAGAGACAAGACAGAGAACAGAGAGGACACGGAGAAGAGACAAGACAGAGACGAGACAGAGAAGATACGGAGAAGAGACAAGACAGAGACGAGACAGAGAGGACACGGAGAAGAGACAAGACAGAGAGGACACAGAGGACACGGAGAAGAGACAAGACAGAGACGAGACAGAGAGGACACGTATACAATGTTTCTATCGGTTTTATAGTTTTAGAGCCTCTCATTTACAATATGGCATTGTGTTAGCCCTGATGAAGGGGGATTTCCTTGAAACGCGTTGGCTTTATCCCCTGACCTCTGAGACTTTTCCCGGACTTATTCCAGACTTCTGGCGCTCTCATTCTTGAAGTCCCATTGTTGGGATTTATGTAGAGACTACACACTACAACAACTATAACACTTTATAATGTTCAGGTCCCGGGAAAGTCCCATTTATTGAAATCCAGAATGGAACGATATTTCAGTGTAATAAATCAAAGAAGATCGCCGGGAATTCCTGTCATGTGAACCTCGGGACTGCTGATGGGTTTGGGAGAGGGAGTGGGCCAATCACAGGAGCAGGGGGGAGGAGCATTTAAAAAAAGTCCTGGCTACAAAGTAAATCCCGGCACAAGGAAATCTGGATTGCGTTAGAAACTGCGCCCCCTGCGATGGGAATACGGGGATAGATGGTTAGCACTTATAATGGATTTGGAGTCTCACCTCTGGCTGCTCCCAGTATGATGCAAAACACAATGATGGGGGTAGTTGTCTTCATGGTCAGCGCTGTACGGAGGGGGTCCGCCCGCGACTCTTCGTTCTTTCGGGAAGACAATATAATGATTGTTACAATGTATCAAGAAAGGAGAAGAATCACGGGGAGGAAGTTCTCCGGCTGCGGTGTCACAGGTCACATTTCCATGTTACTGGCGGCGCTGAGGATTTATACTGGCACGCCGCGGGGAAGGGTCACATGACCCCGGTACTGTCATGTCACTTGCTCCACCCTGACATAACTCCCATCATTGTCCCTCATGGACAGGAAACCTGCGAAAACTCAGATAGAAATATTCATTTCTACTTCATAGTCGTCCAGATGAAAGGAATGGAGACGTGAGGAGAGAGGCGAAGAGGGACAGTCATGTGCTGACAACACGAAGAGTGCGGGGCGATAAGGGGTTAATAATGTCATAGGCTGAATGTTTCCTAATAGTGGACCCCAATGGGTTACCTCGACTGTGGTCTACGAGCAGCGCCCCCCAGAGGAAGAACGCTGCAATCATTGGGGTCCGGTATTCAATGCACTCTCCATACCGGAGTCCGGTGTGCAACACGCTCTCCATACCGGAGTCCGGTGTACAACACGCTCTCCATACCGGAGTCCGGTGTACAACACGCTCTCCATACCGGAGTCCAGTGTACAACACACTCTTCATACCGGAGTCCGGTGTACAACGCACTCTCCATACCGGAGTCCAGTGTACAACGCACTCTCCATACCGGAGTCCAGTGTACAACGCACTCTCCATACCGGAGTCCGGTGTGCAACACGCTCTCCATACCGGAGTCCAGTGTACAACGCACTCTCCATACCGGAGTCCGGTGTGCAACGCGCTCTCCATACCGGAGTCCGGTGTACAACACGCTCTCCATACCGGAGTCCGGTGTACAACACGCTCTCCATACTGGAGTCCGGTGTACAACGCACTCTCCATACCGGAGTACGGTGTACAACACACTCTCCATACCGGAGTCCGGTGTACAACGCACTCTCCATACCGGAGTCCGGTGTGCAACGCGCTCTCCATACCGGAGTCCGGTGTACAACACGCTCTCCATACCGGAGTCCGGTGTACAACGCACTCTCCATACCGGAGTATGGTGTACAACGCACTCTCCATACCGGAGTCCGGTATACAACTCGCTCTCCATACCGGAGTCCAGTGTACAACGCACTCTCCATACCGGAGTCCGGTGTACAACGCACTCTCCATACCGGAGTCCGGTGCACACTCTCCATACCGGAGTCCGGTGTACAACGCGCTCTCCATACCGGAGTCCTGTGTACAACGCACTCTCCATACCGGAGTCCAGTGTACAACGCACTCTCCATACCGGAGTCCAGTGTACAACGCACTCTCCATACCGAAGTCCGGTATACAACACGCTCTCCATACCGGAGTCCGGTATACAACACGCTCTCCATACCGGAGTCCGGTGTACAACACGCTCTCCATACCGGAGTCCGGTGTACAACACGCTCTCCATACCGGAGTCCGGTGTACAACACGCTCTCCATACCGGAGTCCGGTGTACAACACGCTCTCCATACCGGAGTCCGGTGTATAATACACAAACTACATACCGGAGTCTGTGGTAAACCGGTGTGCTGCGCTTGGTTTTGTGATACGTGCTATATTTAATCTTTAAATTATGTGATGTTTGTAATGACACAAACTAAAAACAGTGCAAGTGATCGAATCCTACTTGCAACTATATGCAATCCAAAAGTGCATATGTGCATGAATGTTAATAAATATACGTGTCATATAAATATGGTAAAAGTACGAATGTGAATACTAGATAGTTAAATGTGAACCAAATAAATTAATAGATGATACATATATGTGCCATATAGTGAAAATACAATTGTGAATACTAAATGATTAAATATAAAAATGGATCAATTTGACAATCAGCAACATTTAAATAGAAAGAACAATAATTTAGAGAAAACTAATATATGACCAATCTAGCAAATTTCGAAATAAAACCACATCTACTGGTATAAAGTGAATAAATACAGGTGGAAAAAGTAAAAAGTATAAAAGTGTATGCACGAGGGTTGTAACACCAATAGTCTATTTTCTACCAAATGGTATTAAAAGTCCAATGTCAACTACCTTGGTCACCATCTACATACCGGAGTCTGGTCTACAACATGCTCTCCATACCGGAGTCCGGTATACAACACACTCTGATACTTACCTTTCTGCTTGCTTCAGCACTCTCCCCTCCTTTCAGGCTCTCTCCGCCGCTCTCCCCTATGGCACTCTACCCTCCTCTCAGTCTCTCCCCTCTGGCGCTCTCCTCTCCGGCGCTCTCCCCTCCTCTCAGTCTCTCTCTGGCGTTCTCCCCTCTGGCGCTCTCCCCTCTGGCTCTCTCCTCTCTGGCGCT